TGCGCCATGGTATATACGGATCAAATCCGTGCAGCAGGTAAAAAGGTGACTCTCCCGTCGAATCATGCACCGTTGTGTTATAGGCAAACACACAGAATGGGAGGACCTTATCCCAGTCTGTGGGTACGGCCACCTTCTTCCTCAACATTTGTATGAGTGTCTGGTTGAACCTTTCGGTTAAGCCATTCTCGCGAGGATTGTAGCCTTTCGTGAAAACATGCTCAATCCCCATGATTGACCTGAGCTCTTGCATGAGTCGATTGTCAAACTCTCCTCCCTGATCAGATAAGGATACATTTCGGCTGTCGTCCGCCCTCAGCGATCCACCTTTCAAATAGCGTTCGAGCCACAATTGCCGCAGCTTTCGAGGGAATGGCATATGCGCCACCAAATTTTGAAAAGTGATCAATTACGCTGAGAATGTATCGGTTTCCGTCCGTCGTCAATCCCATCTCCAGGATGTCAATGCCGACCAGCTCGTAAGGCTTTGTTGTAACAATAGGCTTCAACCCTGGCGTCATTGGATGACGATGATTATGACAGAGACACTCTCGACAATCTTGTGACCATTGGGCAATATCCCTTTTCATGGTTTCCCAGAACAGGTCTTTTGACAATTGTCTGAACAATTTCTTTGGACCAAAATGTCCAGCCAGCGAGCCTGAATGCGCCTCTTCGAATATTGCTCTTCTCTTGGACGGGGTACAACCCTCCGCACCGAACAGTTATCCAGTAGCGCTGCAACATCCATGTCAAGGTTCCCTTTTCGTGGTTTACTATCACCTCCGCATAGATAGGATCTTCTCGTAGCTCGTTTGTCCACTCAGGCTCTTCTGCCACCAATGCTACAATGAGTTCATTTGGGATTGTTCCCGTTTTCTCACCCTCATCTGTAGACACAGCACCACGGCTCAGCGCATCGGCGACGCGGTTGGCAGCACCTTTTAGATAGATAATCTTTAAGTTGTACTTCTGGAGTTCAAGTGCCCACCTGAGCACTCGCGCAGAAACGTTTGTCCGCTTAAAGAGCGCTGTCAGAGCTTGGTGATCAGTATAGACTTCAACCGGAAGTCCATACACAAACATATGAAACTTTCGCAAAGCGAAAACAACCGCCAATGCTTCCAAATCGGTCACGTGGTAGTTCTTTTCGCACCGAGACAAGCCTTTCGACGCGAAGAACACTGGATGTAGGAATCCATCTTCTCCCTCCTGACTCAAAACAGCACCAAGTCCTTGAATACTGGCGTCGGTATGAATTTTGAAAGGCTTTCTTCCGCTCCTAGCTCCTTCAATATCTGGCTGCGCCAGCACTGGCGCCTGTGCAATTACAGACTTAAGCTTGTCAAAGCATGACTCCTTTGTAGAATCCCACTTGAACGGCACTTTTCGGACGTCATCTCATGTAGCGGTCCGGCTACTCTTGAGAATCCCAGAACAAACTTTCGGTAATATGAACACATACCGAGGAACGTCCGGAGGTCCGACCGAGACTGCGGCAGCGGGTATTTCATGATCGCTTCGACCTTGGCTGGATCCATGTGCAACCCGCTATGGTCAATCACGTGGCCGAGGAACTCAACTTTCCTCTCCAACAAAACGCACTTCTTTGGATTTAATTTGAGTCGTGCTTTCGACAATTCCTGAAAAACTCGTTCCAAGACTCTTAGATGCTGCTCCACTGTTCCGGTCGCTACCATTATGTCATCCAAGTAGCAGAACACTTCTTCTCCTAGCAGAGGACAAAGAACAACATGCATCAGTCGTTGGAAGACGGCTGGCGAGGACGCTAGACCGAATGGCAAAACCCGAAATTGGTATAATCCTTCGGTAGTCGTAAACGCCGACTTTTCCTTGGCATCAGCCGACAAGCTGATCTGCCAGTAGCCTGACGATAAATCCAAAGTCGAGAAGTAACTTTTACCCCTCAAGCTTTGCAAAATCGTGTCAATCGTTGGCAAGGGATAACTGTCAACCCTTGTCACCTGATTGAGCTTCCGATAATCCACGCATAATCTGAGAGTTCCGTCCTTCTTTTGCACCAACACGATGGGCGAAGCCCAACTCGATTTACTTGGTTCAATGATCTTTCGTTCTTGCAAATCATTCAGAATGCGTCGTAGCTCCACTCGCGTGCCTAGTGGCACCGGACGGGCTTTCTGCCTAATGGGCATTGCATCACCGGTCTCAATACTGTGTTCCACTAGCGTTGTTTGAGTGAGCTCTTGTTCACTTACTGCAAAAGCATGAGCGTAATGCCTGACAAGCTTCTCCAGTGCTTCATTGCACTCCTCACTTTGTCTGTTACTTTGCAGTTTTTAATTCACGATGCTCGTTACATCCACGGTGCGCTGCACACATGTATCCGGAGAAATATAGGGTTTCTGAGCTTCATTGTAAGATATGTTCTTCGTGTGCAGATGATATGAAACTCTTCAGAATCTTTTATGTGACGACGTTTCGGGCTTTAAGCCCTTCCTCAGGTCTAGAAATACAAAACAAATACAATCACATCGTGACTCAACAGTTACACTAAATGGAAACAATCATTGGAAATAGAACTTACAACAACTGACCAACTATTAGGTGGGTGATGGGAGCGGGTTGGTCCCGGGAGAGTGGCGAATAGCTAAAAGGCTTGTGAGGTTGACGTGCGATGAAGCACGTGAGAGGAGAGACTCACCTCTCTAGCTGCTCACTTGTTTAGAAATGGGACTACTAGACAGGAAAAGCAAGGGTGAGGGTAATGGTATTGGATACCCTGCATTTCAGTATTGTCACGTAGCCTTCATTCCTTCATCTCACTATGTGCCAATTAGCTCCATGGCTCTTCGCAGTTCTTCCCTGTTGTTGATTTGTGGATTTCTCCGGAGTATTTGACAGGCTGCACTTCCACTACTTCGGTAGGCTCGAAGGTTCCCACCTTCCTCCCCTACTCGGAAAATCTTTGCTCCTGCAAAGGTATTTGTTATAGGTAGTTACTGTTGCCTGGTTTCCACCTTTCCATACGACATCTGGTAGCAGGTGTTCCTTGGACTAAAAGATTCCCTCCTGCGCCGTGCCATCACAGTGAACACGTAGCGACTTCGTCTCGCCTGGACGTAGGTACATCCTTTTGGCAATGGTTACTGGAAGACAACTATTAGGAGATTTCTTCTTATGTTTCACTGTCCTTTTACTTATTGTGGGAGAGTTCTCTCCTTCATCAGTGAGAGGGTGCATGGATTTGTTCGGTGCTGGTAGGTGAGGCCGTAGCCGAGCTTCTGAAGTGCATTTGTTCCTGGAACTATCATGCCGTCTCTCCTGGACATGGCAAACAAAGCGATTCGCACCTTCCTTCCGTCGGATACTTGCAGCGTCGCTTGATTAGCTCCTTGAGCATTTTTAGTCTTCCCGAAGCATCTAATACCTGCTTCTGCTGTTCCAGTGGTATTTCTTCCACGTCAGCATCCAAGTCAAAGCCTGATTCCCAAGCTGTTTGGAGTATTCGCAGTGGTATGATGCTGATTTGGGAACCTGTGTCCAACAAAGCTCTTACTGACATCCCAAGTAGATGCACTTCTGTTGTTGTTTGTTCTCCCACAAGCTCGCTTTTATCCATGGCCTCCACTGCACCGCATATCCACTTTTTTAGGGATGCAGTGAATACTCTCGCCGTTCCTGCTTGTTTACTGGCACTCGCTGACTTCTCTTTGGCATTCGACTTCTTGGGAAGCGGGCAGTCTCTTTTAAGGTGTCCTTGTTTATCACAGTTGTAGCATCTTACAGAGAGTTTCCGCTGTTCATCCTCTGAGCGCGCTTCTCTCCCGTCAACTGCGCCTGTTGGTTGTGTCGCAGAATTTTCTGCGTTACTCGCTTGAACTTTTGACCAGCTATGCGTCTTTTGCGTTCCTCACGACTTTGATTATAACCTGTAGAAGTTTCTCTTATTGCTGTCGCGACCTCTCTACTTCTCTCGCATCTTTGCGCCATGGCTTTGACCATTTCATATGCCGCCTCCTTTGGAGCAATCTCCATGGTCGTATAGAGCTGAAGATATTCGGGCCAGTCCGTTCAACTGGCTTACCAACTCTCCTGCCCTGGTGCGAGACAGTTCTTCTTCTGAAGCGTCAGGGTATGCCTCTCTGGTTAGCCTTTCCAGTTCCAGACAATACCTTGTTACGTCTCCCGACCTTCTCAAGCGCTTCAAATCCATATACGCTTTCATTTGAATGGACGAACTGTTTACCTCAAACTTCGACCTCAATGCATCGACTAAGCCGTCGAAGTTTCCTTCCCTTATGTGTTTAGGTAGTGCCTTAGCCACTGCCTTTGGGTACCCGTCCAATTTTGAAAGCAGCAAGTGGTTAAGCAACTCATCCTGAAGCCCAAGATTTTGGTATTTCATCGAAACCTCAGTACGAAATCTTCGAAATTTCTCCCTTGGGGATCTTTGTATGTCTCGACCTCGGGTAAAGCCATTGCTGCCAATATACAGCCCATTTGACTTTCTGAACGATGCGACTCACCTGGGCTTTGACACCTCGTCGACGACGAATTGGGTCGAGCCCTTGATCTTCGGCCTCAAGTCGGTCGTCTTTCCTGGCTGCAAAAACATTTGTTCAGCTGTCCCAGGCTTGAGTTCATCAGTTTTGCCAGCTTGTTGGCGAAGCTACCTTGAGCAGCAGCGATAGGATCGAAGTTTAGATGATATTCGACATTGTCGAACTCGCTGACATTTAGCTGCTCGTAGACTGTCGCAGGAGCGTCTCCACCGCTTCCTCGTCTCGGATCCTGACGAGGCTGAAAGTGGAAAGCATTAGAATGCTCCATGTAAGACGCTGCCTCTACAGAAGCCGCCTCGTTCCCTCATCTAGGTGAATCTACCTTTTCACATTGCTCAACTTTTCGTCCGAGCATATCACTTTGAAGAGCCTTTGCGTGTAACACTAGCGTGAGCGTTTCGCACACTACCTTTTTATCAGCGCAAACTTCGTGTTCCAACTCATTCAACCGCCCTAGCTCCTGCTCAATGAGGTTGCACTCCTCACTTATCCTTGAGCTTACTAGGTCCTCTAGTTGCTTAGCGGTTCTAGTTGCAACCCCCTGCAGCATCTGTGCAGGCCACTCTCGCAAACTTGCCACCCTCATTGCAATGACTTCACTTGAAGTACGCACCTGTGGCATTTCCTTAGCTGCGAGGCTGTCCACCTTTTTGACAAGGTGCTCCAGCGTCGTTTTCATTGACGCTAACTGCTCTACTGTTGTATTCTCATCCAACAGTAAGCGCTCCAGATCTTCTGGGTTTATCTCAACAGTAGACACATGACCGACAAAGCTATAAGTGTCAAGGTTTGGTTGTGTTGTCTATCTTTTGTTTAGCAACACCGAAATCGTTCTGGCTGATCGCTATTCTATACCCAGACGTCTTTCCCTGATATCGATTGGTAAATCCTCCCTCAGATAGTAGGTACGTCCTGACCACACAGTACAAGCGACGTCACCGTAACACGTGAAGAGCAATGACGTCACGTTAACACGTGACTGTCAATGACTCACGACCAGGTGTGACTCACCTGTCAAGTCCTGTTAGCCAGGAGGTACACTGCCTAACTGGGGCAGGATTCACGCCCGAGTCGCTCCGAACGACCTAAGGGGCGGTATCGATCGATTACTGAGCGTAGTCTTTAGTTCGGCCCCCAAGTAACGCTGTGCTTGGGAGGAGACTCGACTCAATCACTCAGTTTATTCGACACTCAACAATGAATCATACAGCCGGAGCGCGGATCTTATATAGCTGCCTCAGGGGGCGGTACCGGAAGTAGGCGTGAACCTCGCTGTGATTGGCCGGTTCTCCTTACAGGCGTTAACGTGATCACTGACGACGGCTCCGGAGTATCGATCGGCTAAGGCTATAGCGGTTGAAATGGATTGTACTAAACAATGAACTTTCAACAAACAAACATAGAAACACTTCTCTAGGATAACATAACATGATACATTATTGTATTGCTCAACATGCTTTTTACTGCTTGCTTTTTACCTATGATCGAGTGAGTAAGTTGACCGCTCGCTAATGATTTTTTGGCTCTTCGCCTCCGCATTGCCATCTTCATCAGATGTGTGAGACGATTCGAACTTTACGGCGAACCAAATTCTGCTGGATTCTAGTTCGATGCAGTCTACACTGCATTTACAGAATGCTCGCATCGCAAGCACCCTCCTCCAACAGTACATAGCCGAGAGATAAGGGAGGCGTGACACAGACCTGCTTGTGGGCTACACAAACTTAAATGTGGTTGCAGTATTCAGCTGATTGATGTGTAGTCGTCGACTTCCACTATAATATTATTTTAGAATAGTGCTGTCCCGAAGCCTCATAAAGATCTCTGAATGTCGAACAACAGTTTGAGGCTCCAAAAATTTTATTTCAAAAAGCTTCAAAAACTGAATATCAAAAGCTTTTCAAAATAACTTGCAATATTTCGGTGCTTAGCACCTTCGTCAGGCCTGAAATAATACTTCTTTCTAGAGTCGGACAATATACGAAATATCTAAGACCAACTCACATCATATACAAACTTACCCGACGACAAATTCTATAATATTATTCTAATATTCTGCTGCGTTGTTATTCCCCAGTAGTGTTCTGTTTCGCTTCAAAAAAGTAAATTTAGTGACAGTGAAAAATTAGCTGTTGTTCATGACATTTGCACGTTTTTTCCGCAAATTTCAGTATTAAAGCGGTGTTTTGGCATCTTCTATGAATATCTCTGGTTAGATATTATTGTTGTTCCTCTGTTACGTGCCGTTTTCGAAGTTTTTTCTTGTTTTTTTTAAATAGACAATTTTAGTCATCCTTTCTCCATTCAACTTATTTTTCATCACATCACCACTACTGCGTTGCTTTTGTTCTGTAACAATATTCGATGCTTTTGGAGCAACTTGTTGCTTTCTCTGCATGTCTTTTTCCAGGTAGTGCTGCAATCGCCGCCCTTTTTGCTGTTGCGTAAGGTTTCTTTTTTATTTTCACATCCTTTTCCATTCGACTCGTTCTTCACCACAGCGTCTTTTATGTGTTTATTTTGCTTTGTGGGACACGGCTTGATGCTGTTCTAGAACAATAAAATTATGGCTTTATATATGATTAAACTTTTCTATTTGTAAAATTAAAACTGTTTTTGTTTTTGTTTTTCGATCTCAATATTGTTATGTGTTTTATTCAAAATTTATTTAGGGGGTGGGATTCAAAGAGTAGTTTAGTCTCCGTTTCGCACGTGCCCTTAGACGGAGACTAAACGAAAGAGTATCCTCTCCCTGTGCTCATCAGTAAGGGAGGAGAGGTATAAAGAATTTGACTTACATTATTGTAGTAATTATTAAATAAAATTTTCAAAAGGTGTTAGCGTAAAAGAATTATTGATATTTGAGTTAATTTAGGTTTAATACAAATTAAACTTTTTTCAAGTCAGTTAGATTTATAATTAAAGTTTTTTATGAAAAACTAGAATAGAAATAAACCCTTCATTTCCTATTCAATGTAATTGTATAGAAAATTGAACTCACCTCTTGTCCTGCCTCCCCTCGAATAGATAATAACTTACCGCTTTCGTACGTGGCTTCCTCCAGATAGTGCTTGTTTCTGCCACCATTGAACCGTCAAAGAGCACGTTGCATGAGGAAGTAATGCAAATATGTTCCGTTTTCATTTTGCTACAGCTTTTCTATTATACACTTTTCTGTTGTGAGCAGTATTTTTTAGTTTGCATTTTATGCTGTCCTTTGCTCTAAATTCTCCTCTACCATAGCAATATTCCATCAACGTTTTGGTTTTGTAGAATTTAGTTCCTCATTAATAAACAGTTGAAATCAACAAGCAACAGGCAATGAGAAAGCTATCACAAAAACGGTATCAGAACTCAAACGTCAACGTGGTAGTACTCGTTGAAATCGTCTAACGTAACCTGTAAATCTATGTAGGTTTAATTGAATCACAATCATTGAAGCCGGATATTAGTTGCTGTGCAAGAAACAAGAAAACAATTACAGTTTTACACAAATTCTGTCTAGCGATTCATCTGACAGACTACTATCGGAAGAATCGAATAGTGAGGAGAATATCTATACCGTTGCCAACACTGTTTTACTAGCATCTAGCGCCTCTTTCAACTGTGCAGAATCCTGCTCTTCCAGTGCTCCCTGCACCACCCTTCGCAAGATCTCGACGTACTTCTTGCAAGCTCGACAGCCCTT